GAAGTAAATAATTATGTCATAAAATAAGTTAAAAATAGAAATGATGTAATGATCTACATGTGTAATGTGGCGCAACCGTTGCAATAAATATAGAAAGATGATTGTTAATCGTGATGTAATATTTAGCGCATCACATGATTTCCGTAGTAAGTTCGTTCTAATTGGTCAACATTAACAGTCAATTGGTTGGTCCACGATTTACAATCTCACAATATGGATGATTTATTTGACTTTTATAAAGAAAACATTGGAGAAGGTTAAGATGGTCAAACTATATGGTAAACAAAAAGCAATGGATAAAATCTGTAGGAGGATTACCAATAATGAAGAGAAAACTGTTGTAGCATTTGGTAAATATTACCTATTTCCATGATACTAATTTTTTATATCATTTAGGCATAAAGCTCCGCATGAGCCAAGCTCATCCTTGGCTTGAAAAAACAATGATGGCTTGAGCCAAGCCAAGCTTATAAACAACTAGCTTGGCTCAGCTTCTTGGCTCGCAAGCCAGCTTGATTAATATGATCAATGGTTACTCAAAATAAATAAATAAATGCGTTTCATTTAGAGTATATAATAAATGTTTAATTTCTAATATTATGCATGTGTTCTTTCTCTTTAAAAATGTATAATGACAATAATTATGATATTAGTTATAATAATGTGATTGAATTGCTTGAATATGATAATGAGTATAAATATAATGGACATAAATATAATAATGAATATCAGAATGAACAAACATATAATATTAGAAGCAGAAGTGTAAATGAAAATGTAAATCAAAGTATAAGCAGAAGTGGAAGCATAAACAAAAGTATAGTTGGAAGTGTAGTTGGAAGTGAAGTTGGAAGTGGAAGTGGGAGTATAAATGAAAATGAAAGTAGTGGTAGTAATGCTTCTTTCTCTTCCTCGAGAAAACCAACATCTGCTGTCTATGAACATTATAATTTTTTCAAATGGTTAATGGCATTGTAAATATTGCAGGTAATGGTAATGTTAGTGATTTATATAATAGTTTATTATTTTGTATGCTTATTTTTTTTTAATTGATAATAGCAAAAATTTTGGTGATTCATCAACAACAACACTATGGAGACACTTTAATAATAATCATTCAAAAAAATAAGGAGGAATAATAACTGGTCTATGGATAAATTTTGTAATTTTAATAATAATCTACCAGGAAAGGTAATTGGTTTTTTAAATTTCATTTAAAAACATAACATATTTGATTTTATTTTTTTATTTTTAGTTTACTCAAGAAGGTTTTAGACAAAAGTTGCTTCATTGGATAGTAATTAATGATCAACCATTTGTTGTTACTGAAGACCAATCTTTTAGAGAGGTGCTGACATATATAAAATCTGATATCAATATTCCATCACTAGATACTGTTTATTGTGATTTATCAAAAAAATTTAAACAAACCAAAGAATTGGTTTGTAAACACTTACAAGTAATTTAAATATAATTGATTTTCAAATACTATGCTTTATTAAAATTGAAAATTTTTTAATTAATAATAATATTATTTATGTTTAGGAAACACCTGGACTTATTTCATTCACAGTTGATGCATGGACCAGTAGGAATCAACTTCCATTCCTTTTATTTAAATAAACTTGATCAATTGAGTTATATGTTATATTCTAAAAATCTATATTAATTTTTATTTAATTTTATTAATTAAAAAAAAAATTTAAATATAATTGTACAATTATTTTTTCCTCTTAGTTTAAAATATTAATAATAATAATATAAAAGTCTTTTATTGTTTATTTCTTCTAATTAATTATTATAAACTTACAATCCCCTCTCCCAAGCTTGATATAACCCTACGACATTCTTTTCTAACTTGAGCTGAAACTTGTGTTTTCCATTTATTTAAAGCTAAATATTCTCTAGCAAAAAATAAACATGTTTCTTTATAGAAACTTTCATATAATCTGTTATTGATCAATTTCTTTATATTTAAAAATAAAAAATATATATATTTAGTTAGAGAGAAAAATCCAATGAAATAAATTAAATGAATTTTAATAATAATAATAAAATAAAATACTTGATATTTTGATTCTTCATAATTTGTTAAATGTGAATTTTTATTGAAATTATATTTAATTAAAAATTCAGTTGGACTAATTAATAAATTCAATCCACTTAAATACATTTGAAGTAAACAAGCTGCTTTATTATCATCAAAACGTTCAGTACACCTAGGAAGAAAAACAGAATATATTTATTTAGGTACCATTTTTTGACATTAAAAAGAAATAAAAATAAATTATTACCATGGGATTTTATCATTCTTCTTGACTATGAAATTTGGTTTATAATAAAAATCATAAGTCTCTAGTTGATAAGGTAAATTATCTTCCCTTTTCATGAATTTATCTAGACAAGTTGGACCATTATTAAGTTCCCAACCTCTATCTAATAATGCCATCTTATCATCTTTAACCAAATGAATTAATTCATCTCTATTATTAGGAAATTGTAATATATGATCAACACTATTATAACTATTGTTTTCCATTGATGCTTCTGATGTCTTATCTAAGGATGACATTATTGATGATGAGTTGTTTATAAATACAAATGTTGGTAAAATAATAATATTATTTTTTTCAAGATATTTTATGTAATAGTCTTTGATTTTTGTATATAATTCAGATGAATATGGCCATGTGTCATGGTCTAAAAAAAAAATGAATTCTGTACGTGAAAAAAATCTTGCAACATTTAAATGAAAATTGGTTGGTATTGCATATTTTTTTGCAGTATTATTGTTGATATTATTAGTATTGTTATAATTTGGCAATAGTGTATTTGGTCCCAATATTAAATGGACATCTATTTTACTTGTAATTTTTTGATTTTTTTTAAATAAATTTTTTAATGCTATCATTGAATCTAAATAGCTTTTATTGTCATTTTCATAATTAATTATGTGTAAAGTTGCTGATATAGGCCCTAATTAATAATTTTTTTTAATAAATAACCATACAATTCATTTATTTAATAAAATAAAATAAAGTAATTAATTACCTTTCCACAGCTCAGCAAGCCTAATTAAATCTTCAAATCTATTTTCAGTAACAAATGCTGAGACTGTTATATCGTTTGGATTAGGTTGAATTTTAGAACGAATATAAAATGGCTTTAAATTATCTGTTAATGATTTAGGTAATTTGGAATATAATTTTGAAAAACGATGCTTGACTAACATCTCAGATAATGGTGATATTGATTTAGTATCTAATAGTTTAGTGAAAGAATTGGATTTTTAAATTGTTATTAATTTTATTTTAAAAAGTTTTTTATTTTATTGTGTTTTTTTTTATACCATAGACTCGATAAATAGGTTTGCTGTCAAGTTCAAGCTCAATTGGAAGCTCATCAGAATCTCCAAAAGTATATTTAACAAATTGTGTCATCGAAAACAACACAGAGAATAATATTAAATAAATTAATAGCAGGTAATATCTTAATCTCCATAACCAAAAAAATAACGTTTGAAGTGCTGAACGTTGTGATGTTCCGTAATTTGGTAACTGTAAATTAGATTTACTAAATATCCACATATTACATGTATTAATACTTTGTTTTTTTCTAAAACAAAAAAAAAGTAAAGAGTGAAATTTAATAATTATTATGGTTGTATATATTTATGCGAATGAAAGGAATTAATTTTGTGTAATTAGTTTACTGTGAGATACCCTAATTTAAATCAAAATTAGGTGATGTAACATAACGTCAATCAAAAAATAAAGTATACATATATAAAAATATATAAATAAAAATTGCATCAGATAAAGACATGAAACTAAGGGAAATTATAGTAAATAGATTAAGCTTTTAGATTACAGAGAGTTCTAAATAAAAAATTTTTTTTTATATATTCTAAAGAAATTGAAAAGATTGCTGATAGAAAAACTTTATTATTATAACCAAATGAGATAGGGAAAAAGCTCTCTGTAACTTTATTATAGAAGACTTAAAAACAATAAAACTATAAAAAGTTTTGTTTAATTTTATTACAAAAAAAAAAGTTATCATGGTTTAAAGTTATTCAATTTATTATTAAATTTTACCATAAAAATTTACATTGCAACTGATAAATTAATAGAAATTTCTTTTTATAATTCATGTTTTCAAAAAAATATATTAATATTGTTGGTTGAATTTTGTTGTCAACATTTATTAACAGTCATCAAACACTGGGGTGTTACAAATTATAATAAACACAAACATAGTTGAGCACCAGTGTAAAAAATTGGAGGGGCGGGTCTCACGTTACACTAGATATGTGTGACTAAAAATATGTGCAAAAAATATTTACATTAAATTTATTAAATTTGAAACAACTTTTCTTTTGACATTGTTTTATTACACTTTACATTTTAAATATTACCCAAGAAAATATAATTTAATATTGTTTTGAATTAAGTATTTTGAAATGACTTCCTAACATAACTAATGATGTTTCTTTAATAATAATATCTTTTTTTGTAATTTTAATATTGTGCTTTGAACAATCATAATTATTATAAATAAATGTAATTTTTACTATATAGTTAGTTACAAAAAAAAAAATTTAAAAATGTCAAATAAAGAAATTTTTGACTCTAAAAAAAATAAAATGCCTGAAATTATTGAATTATCAGATGATAAAATGAATAATTATGATGAAATTAGAGAATTAGAAATGAAAAGATTACATTGTAGAAAAAATATTGATAAAGATTGGTTCAGCAAATATACATGGTTAGAATCTGAAGAAAATAATTAAGAAATTGCAAACTTTGTAGAAATAGAAATGATACTCTGTAAAAATTTACCTTCAATTTTACAAAAATACTGAATTGAAATTTATTCAATTGTGGAAATACATGATGAAACTTTTTCTTTTAATTATCCAATAACAACAATTATTCTTAAAATCACACTCATTATACCTCTTTGGAAAGGATACTCTCATAACAAAATTTAATAAAAAGTAAATTAAGAAATAAAATGAATATTGATACTTTAAATAATCATTTGATGGTACTATTAAATGGGCCAATAGAAAATTTTGATTTTGAAAAAGTATATGAACATTGGGTAAACAAAAAACCAAGAAATAGTAGTTATGAATCTTAATTTTGTAGTAAAATTTAATTTATTATTATTATTGTATTATTCAAATTAAATCTTTGTGTAATCAAATTTTAAATGTGCGCAATTATAATGTTACACAGCAAAATTTATACACTGTTGAGCACACATAAAAAATCATATGTGCGGATTTTTCACCAATCAATATATGTAAATTTTTTCAATATGAAAATTCAAACTATATCTCCTCTAGATTTGTAAAATAAACCTTTGTTTAAATTTGATATATGAACATTACATAACACATACTTCAAAACAATGGTTTTGTTTTTTTTAATTTTTTGTTTAAAAAAAATATGCTCAAAAATTTTTTTTAAAAATCAATAACCATTAAGTGAAAGAGCAAGTTTCAGGCTTTAAGGGTAGAGTTCAGTTACACATAATAACATATGGCAAAAATTTAAATTTGGCATAAAAAAAATGGTTTGTACATATAAAAGTTCATGTGACTTCATCTAACACGTACAAAAATTTTCCAACATATTTTTGAGGACACGAGCTATCAAAACAATATAATTTTAGATTCAGTTTAATTAATAAGTTAAGTAAAATAAATAGTTTGAGATTCGAGATGAGTTGCCAATCCTATAAGTAAAGTTACC